TACCTACAGCAGCAGCAACAGAGACAGCAATCAGAGAATGTGTGTCTTATCACTAGGTCGAGTGGATTGAGTGTTGAGTGGATTTTCCTGGAAAGAAACGGTGCCAAGGTCTCCACTACTGCTACGTGATTCTGTACAAACTCAAATGTTTCAGCTTCCTGCACATAAAAGGGAAGCTCAAATAATGCTGCACCATATGAAGACACCTACAGTGGTTCTTGTAACTTTCCCAAGGCAGGAACAGGAGCAGAGCCTCCCCGAAGTAGACAGGAACAGGAAGAAAACTGCCAAACGACCTTGGAAAGCAAATGTCAAATGACCAAAGAAAACAAAAGCACTGATTTATTTTTTATTTTATTTCAAAGTTGGGAATGAAACTGCACAAAAAGGACTGCACAGCCTTAGAGTATGCCAGAGACCAAATTCCATTCTTAGCTGAGATTCATGAAGCAACCTTCAGCTGTGAGCATGGAGAGGATGGCTCAGTAGCACCCCTCTGAATGCTGCATTGTGCTACAGCCCTGGAACTAGTATGTGAGCTTTAACATGTCAGTATCTGGATTCCCACCAGTCCAAAGTTCTCATAAGGGTTTTTCAGCTGTACTCTGGTTTTGATTTCCATGCTGTCTCTATTAATGGCCCAAACTGCAGGTATATTGCCCAGTCTTTGCTGAACACTGCTGCTCCACTACCTGCTGCTCTGCTGTCGAACTCATTGGGGATAATGTGTCATCTTTTCCCTTCCTAATCAGCTGGATGTCATTCAGAAAGCTGGGACAAGGAGAATTTTTTTCCTAGACACCAGCTTTCTTTGCTAGCAGACAAACCTCAAGCCTTATAATACTACTTGTATGTAGCACTTATATAGCTTTACATCATCAAAGTGCTGTACTAGCATTTAAGTAATTATCTCTCTCCCTAATGGCCATTAACGCTGGCCTTTCATGAACCTCCCCCAGCTCCCCGAGGTTCATATCTAATACAGCAATAAGCTGCTCAAAGGGAGTGGCTGGTTATCTTGCAAGTCTACAGGCTAGGATGTGTAATGAGGCTTCAGAGCAGAGGCCAGGTGCCCCGGAGTATCAGAAACATATGGCTGTAGACCAGGTCATGCACTTGGGAGTATCCATTAGAAAGGGATGGAAACAAGTAGGTGATACTGCGCTCTTGAAATGGAGACAGAAGAAGGAAACTTTGGCCGCTCAGAGGATATGCACTAATTGCACTATTACCAGGATAGTACTGCAAACTGAAAGAGCAAAGCAGTGGGAATAACGTGTCAATGTGGGCATGGGGAGTTGATCTAGGGAGAAAAAGAGAGCTAAAAATGTCAAGCAAATCTAGACAGCCATGGCAATGGGATAAAGAGGCCAGTCTGCAGGTCTATGAAGCATTAAAATAACAAGGAGAAAGGGCAAGCTTGGCAGCATCATAGGATTTAAAGAGAGGAACAGAAGAGGATTTACTTGCCTTATTTTTGCTCGAAAGCAAATCCTTCTTCCAGGTTGTGGAGTATCTCCAGGGGACGTGTTGCAATGCCACTGTTTGAGGACATTTCACCTGTAGGGGCCTTTAGAAGATGAACCGGCATGATGGCTGGGCTCCCCCATCTCTGACTCCCAAGGGAAATGGAGGAAGATAGAGTGGGAAGATGACATGACTGTTTTAGAAAAGACTCAGAAGTAGCATGCTCCTGACAAGCATCAGTCCTGCATGGCCACTTATTTCTGAAACCTGCCAGGCCCAGCTCTGAGCAAACAGGAGCTCGACTGAAACAAAATTTCGGCTTCTGTCTAAAGACACAATAACAATTCTTTCAAAAACCAAGGACATGCCATGTAAACTGACTTTGCAAAAGAAAAAAACAGCATCTTTTTTTTAGCCTGATTTAATAGCATCATTTTGCTTTTATGCTTCTGGCAATGGCTGGTCCTGTAAAAGACGTATGTAGCTGTGAGAATCACGTGCAAGTCTACAGTGGCATAACACAGATCACAGCCACTACATGTTATGCAAAGGTTTTCTGTCACCCTGGACACACTCTGTTTCCTATGGCATCAGTAGAACAATCCCTCTGTGTTCAGCTCTAAATGATTTTGCTACATCAGCAAATAACAGTGTATGGCTGACTGCAGACCAAGAAGACTCGACTTAGTGTTCACTCACGATACAGCTTCAGAGCAGGGCCTTTCCCTGCCTTCCTGCATCTGTTTTTTCATCTGTGAAATGGGAATTTTAATCCTAATCAGTTTGCGAGGGAAGCAGTAAGGGATAGTCAAAGGAGGTGCTTTAAAATGTAACAGTCAGCCTTATGTGCTAGGCTAGACACTGCAGTAGTTTTATGGTACAGTTTAATTCATGCCTGTTCTGCTTATAGCTAGCTAGTAAGTGCAAGACTTAACATTTGCTCTCAAAGATGTGGCACCCTGTTTGAGATGCAAAGAATACCTTATTACCTATGAGCATAGCTGAGCCATATTTGGGGACCCACACATTTCTGGGCATTGCTTGGGGGTTTTTCCCCCGCAAATTAATTTGATTATTAATTATTACCAGATTAATTTTTAGTAAAAGATGTGTCTCACGTGACATACAGGGCTGGAAGGAATGCTTTGGCAATCCCTGGACTCCACCATATAAGCTAAGCCAAGACTGTTGTCACATCCTTGGGACAACCATTGACTGTGTATGTCACTTTACTGGCAGTTCCTCACTAGGGTGTATCCAGAGGAGACCAAAGACCTTGACTTTATTTTAGCTTATTAGAACTGAGCTGGGACTACTGGTTTCTCTGCTCTACTTTTAGGGTCAGATCCCCAAGTGGTGTAAATCAGGGCCCTCCCATTCAAGCAATACTGCTGTAATCTTTTTTGTGTAAGATGAGAACCTGGTTTGTAGATTCTGAACTGCTGTAAGACCTGTTCAAAAAGGAGTTAACTGTGCTCAATATGTTGCACTACCTGTAATCTCGAATGATGCTGCAAGATTCAGGATATTGCAAATGTAGAGTGCTTTGCAATAAGTAATCATTTTGAGATTGCTGGAAAACTGAAGAGTTAGCGCTACTTAAAGGACAATAAAATAAGCATTAGCACAAAACAGTTTTTGCAACAATCAAGTTTGATGTATGTCCTGTTCTATTGATAACATTTCCTCAGAGCCCTTCACAAGAAGGGAAGGCAACTTGTAAAAGCTGGGAATGCAAGAAAGAGCTAAAACTGCAGCCAGGGTTTCAAAGAAACAAACAAAGAAAAGCATATTTCTATTATTTCCATTATGGGAGAACATTCTAGGCAGTCCAGAGCAGCAAGCTGAGAACACGCCAGCCAAGCCATCTCTAAACAGGAGGTGTAGAGCTGCAATGAGCTTTTTATCTTCATGCATTGCAGTTCTGAGCACCTCTGCACTTAGGAAAGAAAGATGTTCCTGAGACTTCTAAAACTCCTTCTCTTTTTTTGAGGGAGGGTCTGTTTCAGAGTTAGAAAAAGGGTGGGTCTGCAGACCTCTGAGTACAACATTGCAAGCCCGAGTCCAGATTCTGTCAAACCCCAGAGAAGTCTGACTCACGCCCTCTGTGCAGAAAGCCTGCTAAACATCATACCCATTTCACACCCTGTTCCAACACACCTCCCCAGCACTATCTCTCCTGTGTCCAAGCACTGCAGCACGTCTCTGTACTGACCCTTCCCCACGCTAGTTCTGCTTTAATCAGGCAAAGAAACCTGTAGCGGCTTGGGAAAACTGGCAGCTCAGAGGAGAGCTTTTGTTTGTACAAGAAACATTTTCATCCAAGCGAGCACAACAATCTCATTATTTTGAATAGCCACACATGTGCTGGAAATCTAGATACCAGTTACTTTCTCCCCTGCTCCTTCATAGAACCAGAGAGATTTCTGCCTGTTTGATTTAGTTGCAGTGCTACAAAGTCATTAGCACTTGCTTTTTTGGTGTCTGTAATGAGACAAGCAGTCTTCCAAGCAGTGCTGCAAAAGCGCTCTTTCTCATCACCACTAAAACCTTGGACACTTTGCCCTCAGCAGAAATGAGTGCTGGAGACTTGCAGCCATAGTGCTTCCAGCACCGGCTGGTCTTATCAATTAGCTATTTCCCCGCAGATGGTGCTTCTTATGTAGAAGGACAGAACAGAGAAAAACTTGTCTTGCTCAGAGACGCTTGTTTAGAAATCTCTAGTGAATCTGAAGGTAAATCCATCTGCTTTCAAACTGTTTGCATGCATCCTGCAAACCTGCTGTATACCTGCTGGATTCATGTGCCCTAGAGAAGGGTAGACCCTGACCGAGAAAGTGCCTTTCCCTGGCTTGGCATACCCAGTGGGACTTCACCCATCAGCTCTTCCATTTCCAAACTCTCCAAAGGGGCTGGCTTTCCTGCCTCCATTAAATGCTGGGTATATCCCTGCCTGTAAGAGCCTGTTCTTTACAAACAGACCGCCTTTTTGCAGTGCGGTCCTGCAGTCATTTACATATTCAAAGCACTCTTTGAAAAGGCCTGTAGCACAGTTTTATGAGCACAAAATCTTTCATGCAATTAGGTGATGTGCAGATGCCGGTGCATGGCTTTTAGAAAACCTTACCGAAGAGAGCCAAACCTCACGCTGTATTTCTGGTGGGTGCGTCAGAGCACTGAGGCCCTGCAAAACTCGGCACAATACTTTGCCTGGCCTCCTGGTTCGTCAGACTGTAGGGCTGGAGTATACTCTTGGCATTCTGTCATTTGATTTCTTTACAAGCCCATTTTGGGAGGAGAGGACATCATTTATCTTGATACATTTCAGTCCCTGTCCATCATGTTAACCAGGTGGGATTGGTGGGTAAGCCCATGGGCGGTTGGGGAGGCAGTAGCCAGCCCAGCTTTTTTGAACAGCTCCTTGTCGATGTAGCTCACAGGGAGGCCCTGAGTTTGTCCACATCACGTCAGGGCTGACCGCTTCCTCAGGGCTCTCATCACTCAGATTTCCTTGTGCCTTTGCCCTCACCCAGGTTGGAGGACACACCATGCTGCCTATCCGCTGGATGCCTCCGGAGAGCATCATGTACAGGAAGTTCACAACAGAGAGTGACGTCTGGAGCTTCGGGGTGATCCTCTGGGAGATCTTCACATATGGGAAGCAGCCCTGGTTTCAGCTCTCAAACACAGAGGTACAACAGTGCTGAGACAACTCAGCTGTAAACTGTACTTTTTACCACCTCTCCTTTCCAGATTGCTTGCAAAGCAGTTCGTACATAGATGGTCCCCTCCTTGGCACTCCCATGGCAAAGAGCTGGGGAAACTTAGGCATGCAGGAATCAAAGGGCTCTGCCAAAGCCATGTACTGGCTCATCCCCAGTCTCTCCCTTCTAAGTTCCTGACATACATACCTCTATAACAACCACATCTTATAAACTCTTGGGGTTCTGCCAGAAGTGGGGATGCCCTAATTACTGCTGGGATCTAAGTTATCATCATGCCCTGAATTTCCTCTGCACTCTTTCTCCTTTATAGCTGAGGCTCTTACTGCAGTCTCCAGTTTGAGAGAAAGTGTTTGCAGTCTGTTACATAGCATGTGGCACATTTCTGCGGGGCTTTTTGCCACAGGGATATCTATTATATGGTTTGCCCCAGTTCACTGAGGGTGGAACCCAAGGAGCTGGTTTGTCCTCGTTATTTCTTTGAATAGCAAAAGTTGCAGACCATCAGTGTAGGCCTGCACTGTAAAAATGTTGAGGGAAGGCTGGCTGGGATTAGCAGGGTGTCAGAGCTGAGGTTTGAGGCACATCAGCAGAAATGCATTGGAAGATTTTTGCTCAGAATAGCAGGGGGTATTATAGAAGAGGAACAAGATGCATTGACATAGCAGTGTGTGGGAACCTTGCACATTTTTATCCTACTGTGTATCTAATGGATTTCAGAAATTTCACCTTTTGTAATGAGAAATGTGCATTTTCTGCTTTCTGGATACAGATCCCTTAATTAAGTGAGTTGCAGAGATGGCAAATCCAAGGTGTTGCTTTACAGCTCTAATACTTGCCCATTCGTGTGCTCAATGGGGCCTGACTGTATATCCCAAAGTAGCACACGCAAACATTTTAGAGACACAAACAATGGAATTGACAGCGACAGAAGTTATTTGTCACGCTATTTAATGAGCTGCTCTTGCATTTCCCTGGGAGGGTAAATACAAACACACACAAATGAGCACATGTAGTTTGTACATGGGTGATAGGCACGCTGGAATATGACAGCTCAGCTACTCCCATGCTTTCTGCCTCAGTTTACTTTGCAGGGCAGTAGGACTGAGAATAGTCACCCTTAACCTTGAGGGAGGAGGGCTGGTTAAACTCTGCACAGATGCAGCTGTATTGGCTTTGCCACCACCCCTGGAAAAAATTTTGTCCTTCCTTTTTCTATTGCTGTACCCACTTCTTCCTGAGAGCTGAAGACTCCTACCCCAGACCACACTGTCTTGGTGGGAGGGAGCCACATCATTAGCTCTCATCTGGGTCATTTTTCACAATTTGCGGAGAGGTGGCAGAACCTGGGTGCTTGCAGAGGACTGACACCTTCACCAGCTCCTGGACGGTGAGACATCAAAGCAAGTCTCAGCAGCAGCCTGGCCGCAGCTGCAGAGCCCTGTGGAGAGGCAGGTTAATTGAGTCTGTGCTAAGCTCCAGGCTGCCAGGACTGGGCTATGAGCAATCACCAGGCTGGTGGAGCATCGCCACTGCGGGGTGTGGGCTGGGATGCCCACTCCCTCCTGTGACATCCGCATGTCCTTATACCCCCAGAGCAATTTTAGCAGGTTTTTTCAAGGCTGGAGCAGAGGAATGAGGCAGGGCACCACCTCGTCTGAAAGTCTCAGCCAGTCCATTAACTTCTGCCTATGCCCTTTCTTTGCTCTGGAGAGAAAGGGCCCACCACAGGGTTCCTGTGCATGTCCAGGATGTCCTGTCATAACGCACCTCCTCCTACAAGTCACCGCTGCCAGCAGCTTTATGGCAATGCAGGCTTCTCTGCGTGTTGGGTCTTCTTTGCCCTGCTTTCAGCAGGTCCTAATCTCTCCTCTCTGTACTTACATGCAAACAGCAAAGCGATAAGTATCCGTTGAGCTGTGTGGCAGGCCCATTACTATTCATAAATGATAAATTCCAAACACCCCTTGCTGGGTGGCTTCCCTCAACATGCTGCTTGGGATCTGTGTTTATCTGCAGAGCGTGGCAGGTCACTCGCACACTGCAATGCTGGGACTCATCAACTCCAACCAAGGAGGCCAGACGGTAATAGCAGCTCTCTGACAAATCATACCTCCCTTCCCTTTGCATCCATTCCTCCAGTGAGCAAAACACAGACAGGGGAGTCCTTTCCAATGGCATCCCTCTGAAGAGACTTTAATGCTATCTAAGAGCTCACATTTCTCTCATTAGCAGCACCGACCTGACCCAGAACAGAGGGTTAGCACTGCAAATTTTTTTCTCCATCACAGATGTGATTTGAGGTGAAATTTCATTCTTTCAGCTGCTTTTCTATGTCAAAATGAGGCAAAGCTGCCCTTGGAGATGGAGGTAGGAAAAGGTGCTCTGAACTCTCCCTTGTAGAACTCTCCTGGGCTTTGCAATGGAAAGGACTCTTGATTTTCAGGGAAGAAAAATATCATTTCAGCTGTGCAAAATATTACTTTAGTTTGGGGATTTTAAGGCTTTTTCTTCCTTCTTCAATTAGCAGGAAAAACTGACATCAGAAATTAAAACTTCATTTCATTTGCTTGTGACCTCCTATTTGGAGAGTGCATTGAGGTAGGTAGGTGTTAAATGGGGAAGGTTTTTAGGAACTTCAAGACTGCAGCTGGAGACAAACTTTTCACTGTAAAATTATCATTGCAACACACAAACAGGTGAGCGCTGAGGATCTGCAGAGCTCTTGGCTTCTCAGCACTCCCATTCACTAAACAGAACCACATGAGCCAAGAAGTAGCTGGGACAGGACACCCTCCAGGAACTGCCTGACTGGTGTTCAACATCTCTTTTCTTTCTTTCTTTCAGGTCATTGAGTGCATTACCCAAGGCCGAGTTTTGGAAAGGCCAAGAGTCTGCCCCAAGGAGGTTTACGACATCATGTTGGGCTGCTGGCAGAGAGAACCTCAGCAACGGCTCAACATCAAGGAGATCTACAAGATCCTTCATGCTCTGGGCAAGGCCACACCAATCTACCTGGACATCCTTGGCTAGCAGTGGCCACTTGTTGAAAGTCCCTGCTCCTTCCTTCCGTCCTTCCTTCCCTCTCCCCCTCCCAAGTCCTTTACCCCTCAGCTCCCAAGCAAACATCTTCATATAAACTCAAGTGCCTGCTACACATACAACACTGAAAAAAACAAAACAAAAAGCATACCAACAAAAATCCCACAAAACAACAACCTGTAAGGCAGTTTGGCTTATATATATTTATAGATATCTCTCTATATATAACTTCCACACCAATACAGAAAGAAGCTGCTGTTACAGAAAATTATAAGACTTTAAAAAAAAAGAAACAAAAAAGGGAGAAAAAAGTACTTAAGAAGATATATATAATTAAAAAAAAAAAAAGAGAGAAAGAAAGGAGAAGGTATCTTTCCCCCGAGCAATGAAGCAGTGAATTGTAACCCTGCTGTGAGTACGGTTCGGGCTGCTGGGCAGGGCTCTAGATTGGCTACGGCAGTGACACCATCCCAGGTAGAAGCCCTGGGAGGAAAGCCTTGCCCTGGTTGTATGATATGCACTGAATGTGTGAAATCAGTCCTCCCTTTTCGTCCTTGCCTCCCTCCCTCCTTCCCAGCCCGCAGATGATGGGCACAAAGCCAGGGCAGTGCCCCTGGATGAACTCTTTTACCAACCCCTTCCCTCCCTCCCTCTCAGTCCTTCCCCATCCCTCTCTGCCTTCCTGCCTTTTTCCTCCCTCCAACATTTCAGGACAATTTTTCTAATTTGCTGATTCTTAAATGTATAGACTCAAGGCTTTCGAACACACAGTCAAAGGATTGTGGCACCTACGGGTAAAACACGCACCGGGAACCAGCTGCCCTCCCGCAGACCGCGAGCCGGCCTGACCCAGACCTCCCTCCTGCCCCATGCCAGCTGCTGCCAGGGCTGGGAGAGCAGCGGGACCAAAGTGGCTGTGCGAGGAAGTCGAGTGGGGGGGTCCTGGAGACCCAGTCCTGAATCATCCCCAGCCCATTTCAGTGTGCGAGACAGGAGTGCTGTTCACCCAGGGTGCCCAGCGCAGGAGCCAACTTTGGGAGGAACAACCCCCCATCCCAACCCCTCCTTTTTCTCCCCACCCTGCACTTTTGCTAGCAGCCATGGGGTTGTTCCCCCTCCCTCAGCTCTCTGCACCGGGGCCAAATTGGTCTCTAGTGTAAACCTTCAGTGGACAGGGTTGAATCCCTGCTCCCCTCGTGGGGGAAAGGCTGCAGCGTGCAGACAGCTGGGAGCGTGCCTGCGTCCCGGCTGGGCATGCCTCTGGGGTCAGCATATCCCGGCACTCTTTCTCCCCACCCTCTTCCCTTCCCCATCCCTGCCCCATGCCTCAGTCCAAGCCTCGGCACGAGCCAGTGGGGGACAGGGACGGGGACAAGGCTTGTGAGATGGCTGGGAACCTACCAACACCTGCCTGCAGCCCCCTTGCCATTCTCCTCACGTCCCCATCCCCTGAAAGGATTGATGCATCTGCCTTTGAGCTGTTGTGAAATGCAGAGGCTGAAGAATAGCTCCACAGGCAGCCCCGGGAGTGGGGGGGAAGGAGGGGAAGGTGCCTTCAGGAGCAGACGGCTCAGCGGATGGCCGCAGCGGCCAGCCTTGCATCTCAATGAGGATAAAGGCCTGACAGGCAGCGACAGGGGGTGGTGGGGACAGTGAGGGAGAGACAGAAGCATCCTCCCTATAGCCCATCTCCCTCAAGCAGGAAATAATCCCGACCTGGGGAAAGGCTGAGTCAGACGCTGAATCCGGTCGGTCCAGACTGGGCTGACACTACAAAACGTTTCTGGGTCTTTTTTTCATGTGGCTAATGGAGGATGAGGGGAAACTCAGCTTGGCAGCTGCTCTCAGGAGGCAGGGAGCGGGCGGCACAGGCATTGTCAAGGCAATTTTGAGAAGGCAACAACCACAGGCACAAAAATAGCCTGCTCGAATGTGGCGCTTGTCTGGAACGGAATGCAGATGGGGGAAGAGGAGAAGGAATGTTGGCTCCTTCTCCATGGCCAGAGTAGTGTTCATGGCCAGGATGCAAGAGGAGATAGGTGACTCTGGTTATGGCTGGTTACTGAAAGGGAAAATTTTGCATCCTCTCCCTTGTCTCTTGCCAGTCTCTACCTCCCACCCATAGCTCTGGCATGACCTGGCTTATGGTTTCAGACAGAGGGAGGGGACACTGCTACAAGGAGGTTTGTGGCGGCAGCAGTGGCTGTGGGTTTATTCTGTGCTCATGTAGAGAGCAGTGCAAACCTGGTGTGCGAGATGATGGGTGGCAGTAACCATGTGGGAGTAAGGACGTAACCTTCCTCTGCATGTTAGAGAGATCCGGGCTAGTGGGACAGACTTGTGCCAATGGAGGCTGGACAGACTGCCGCTGAACGGGCACCAGCAACTCACAGCATGGACACCAAAGATGGCATGGTCAGGCACAAGGGTGTGGACCAGTGCCAGGAGTCCACACGCAGGAACCGTGCCACCCCTCAATAGCAGGATCTTGCTCCTTTGGGAGAGGACATCCAGTTTTCCTCATCTGTCTACTTAGGCACCTTTGAAAGTGAAAAAGATTGTTTGAAGGGTTGCTAGCCCTGGCCTGGCTGCCTTTGTATGCAGGCTGCTTTGGCGAAAAGGGCTGGAGATTCTGTACAAGGGGAGAACAAGCAATGGCTGTTAATTGCCCAGTGTCTCCAAAAGAAAACCCTTCCCTGGGGCTGCCTGTCTCTTACCCCAAACGGCTTCTTGCTTTTGTGGCTCCCAGGCACTGTGCCAGATTGTGCAAGGCCACCATTTTGTCCACCCCTCTCTCTCGCTCTCATTTCTTTTTTGGCCAACATCATGGGCCTTTACACTATCAAATCACCTACAGACACTGTTCCCATAGTCTGTGAGATTCCCCTGTCACCATTCTGCACAGCAGCTACATCCTCCTTTTCTTCCTTCTTTCCTCCTTTCCCTCCTCCCCAGCATCACCACCCTGTCCCTTGTGCCACCTCTTTTTGTGGTCATGACAGCGAGGCAAGCTTAGGAGTTGAGCATGACACTGAGCCTTGCTGCTGCATGGTTAGGAATAAGTAGTCTATGAGAGGCAAGGAGATGGGTCCCCAGAAGATGTGAAGTGGCTGAGACCAAGGTTCAGGCTGTCTGACTCCTTTACTGTTAGCCCCACCATGTGCAGTGACTGCCTCAGAAAGAGGTCCTTTTGTCAAAGTTAATTGTGAACAATTGCTCAGAAGAACAGGATAAGCTGCAGTTCTGCAATGTGATGCCTCTCCAGCTGCTGCTGCCGCCTTATGTCCCTTGGCCTGTTGGTGCTGGACGGAGGTTTGTTGGGGTGGAGGAGGAGGAGGTTGTTTTGTGTTTGAAGACGTGATGGAAACTGCTGCATCTCTTTTTGGCATGACAGTTTTGGAGGGGAAGAGGGAAAGCAGCTGTGCTGAGTTCCTGGAGAACACCCTGAGACCTTATTTCCAGAAGCACCTTCCCTGGACCAGAAGCGGAGCTGCCCATCAGCATGGGTGATGGTGCTCTTCCCTGTAGGAAGATGGGCTCTGGCGTGGCCCCACTGCATGTGGGGGAAGGAAGAAGAGCAGATCTGGGGGGAAACTCTCACAGAGTGCCATAAATCTCAGTGTGGGGACTGTTTGGAGGCAAAGAGAAATAATGAGTTCATGCTCCTTCTCCATTTCCAGGAGAGATACTTCCCATTGCCCTGCCTCTATTAAGAGCAGAGAGCTATCCCTGCTGCCTGGGAACACTGACAGGTCTCACCCAGCTTTGGGGCAGGCCAGGCCTAATTCCCAGCATGTCCAGGCAGATGTTCCCACCACCTAGCCTCTTCCATCTGCAGTTTTCTCAAGGGGCTTGTGAAAGGGAGCTGGGAGGAACAGTGGTCTGAGCACTGCTGAGAAGTGGCCATGGGGTTTCCCTGTCCCAGCTGCCTCCTGCTCCCTAAAAATTAAAATTGTTATCACCAACTCAGTCACCCAAGGGTGTCGCTGAAATGATGCTTACTTGGAGCCGAAAGTGCTATTTTGGTGCATGGTACAGATGGTAATCGTATGCCAGGGCTGCAAATTGTGGGCAGTAAATGTGGCTCCAGCCTTAGGGTCTCATCAGTGACCTGTCTTGTCTTCTCCAGCCGTTACTTTTCCTTCCACCCCAGGCTGTCAGATTGCAAGATGAAAGCTGAAATGTAGCAAAGGGAAGACATGCAATGATCTGCCAGACTGAAAGGCCATCCTGTCTCCCACAAAGCTTGCCCATCTGGTCTTTTTAAATGTCCCTCAGTGCATGTATTTTGGGGGTGAAAAAGAGCCTGGGCTGCCTCATTTCAGGCCTGTCCTTGTGTCCACAGGGTGTTGAATTGCAGACAGGTGACTCTGGGAACATGTGCCACACAGACAAATGTGAAAAATCTGGAATGCCTTTAGAGAGGCTGCTTGCTTGAGAGACATTGTTAGCTTTTCCACCAGCTCCATCCAGGAGTGGGTGGAACAAGGTGAGAAAATATGTGGGGAAATAAAAAAAGCCAGGGAAAGGGAAAGGCTGGTTTTAGAAGGCAAGTGAGTATCTTGGGTTGGGAAATCGAGACTGGTTTCGGGAGTGTGGCGTAGAATTTTAAGTAGCACAGTGGATGCGAGCAAAACCAAAAGAAAACAGCAGCTTACTGGAGCTCCAGGAAAAGTGAGCTGTAACACTGGGCAAATACTAGTTTAAAAAGGAGACAGAAGCCAATAAAAGCAAGGGAACATTTACACAGGCAGAAGACAAAATCACTAGGGTTTGTGCTTTTTTGTGAGATGGGTTTTTTTTCTATAAGAAAATACAACTAAAAGAAGGCCTGAAAAAGTTGTTTTTTCAGGGCCACAGACAGAAGTATAATACTACATGAGCTGTTTCCTTTCATGTGAAAGGCTCGTATTTCCCAGAACTCAAATGCATGAGTTTCCTTGAGTTCAGGATATGGGCTGAAGAATGCAGACCTGGGTCACCACAAGCCCACAAAACCAGAGTAGTTCTGAGTGCTTGATCAGCAGGCATTCATGTGGCAGTCTGGGTGGAGACAGTATTTTGTTCAGCATGTCATCTTCAGAAGTTTTTTGGTTTTTTAAATCTTTCTCATCTTCCTGCCCCCCCC